TTTAACAATTATTTATGGTCTTGGCTTCTCTGCTGAGGAAGGGGACCAATCACTGGGGGCAAATTGTAGCCAAGGAAGATTGCCAATTGCTCCCATTTATGGTGGTTTTGTGGTATCCAGAGCTTTCCATTAGGAACAGGGAAAACATCATAGCTCTTTTACAGACGCCAGTAAACAATCATATGATAATAATACCTGTTCGCTCCTGAACCAGGCCACAGCCAAGTGAAGAGCTCCAAGTGCAAGTAACAGGGTTTTTAGCCAGTCTATCTCCTTGTCTTAGATGTTTCATATTCAAATATTGGCTCTTATGGGGATTTACAGGTTAAGATGACCTGCTAGTCATTAAAGCACTAATTACTGCCATACTGAATTGTGTTCCTTTGCAAAAGCCAACTTCATCGCCATCCCAGACTGAAATCGTGAGGTCATTAAGGAGAGGGTCTTCCTCTGAGAGCAGTATTTCCTGGAATGACAGCTTCCTGCAGCCAGCATTGCCCTGTGAGAAATTCTTCTGATGCTTTTAATTCTCAGCTCTCTCAAGGGGTGAAACAGCTCCTTAAAATGCCAGCACATGGCTCATGTTCAAGGAATTCTTTTCAGTGCAACGTGATATGCAGGCCCATCGGCCGCCCTTTGCACAGGGCTGAATTGATCTACATGTGCACAAGCATTTTGCTGCAATTAAAGGGCAGTTTATAGTTGCACTCTTTCACGGGAGTCACAAACCAGCCTATAACCCCCACCCCTTGCTCTATAGGGAAAACAAGCTGACCCAGCTCAGTTCCTGTTACCATTTGCATTCCCCTCCAAACTTGCTCAGAAGTTATTGCCAGCCTGCTGTGGAGGGATTGGGGTGCAGAGCCAAGCCCAAGCCCATGCCTCATCTCTGCCCACCTCTCTGCTCTATGGAGCAGCTGCCTGGCATCAAAGACTTATTCTTCATGTTGGCTGGATGTGGGTAGCCTGGACAGGACAGTCAGTGTGGGAGCGGAGCTAGAGTCTGGATCAGGACAGGAGTTAGCGAGCCTTTCCAAACATTCGTTTTACTGGATTACTTCTGAGGACTACGGCTTGCAATGCTTTGTCTTTCTAAATTCAGCTGTACAGGACGGAAGCGTGATAGGGAAGGAAATACAATGAATTTCCGCTGGTGGCTGGTGTTGACTTTGTTTTTGCCAAGAGCAAGTCTTTTTACAGAGGCCAGGAATTTGCAGTAATCCCCATGTGAGTCAACCAAAGTCCATCACTTTTATTTCTAGACTTCTGCGTCACATAGGCAGGACCCACTGGTGGATCTTCTGTATGTCTTTATGCCAGCAACAAGTGTGGAGCCCATGCACAAAAGAACTGGAGATGTCACCCAGATTAACAACTACATGTTCCTAGAAGAAACCATTGTTTCCCTCTTGCTTGTGCTATAACCAACCACATGTGTACAGCCAAGTTGTATTCCATAAGGCTGGTTAACTATGAATACAATTTAATGTTCACTTCTTATTGTGCAGAGGCCAAAGAACCAAAAGGAGAAGATCTGCCAAAGGGTTGGAGGTGTGCATGCCCCTGGTTGTAACTTGGATATCAAGCAACAGGGGGTCCAATGTGAATCTCAGGAGGCTGTCTGCCTTCCATTTGTATGCGTGCCATTTGTGTATCACTTTGTGTTTTCTCTTTATAAATTATGAAAACAACTGAATCAATAAATATTAACATAATGTGTATTGCCTTGGCAACTTGGCACTTGATACAAAAATTAAAAACAAATTACATAAGCCACCCACAGTGTGGAGTTTTATTGGAGATAAATCTACTGCTGCTGCAGCCAAAAGAACAAATTGGCTCAAATTAAAACAAAACCAAACAGCCCAAAGTTAAGCAGACCAAAATAAATGCACTTGGAGCAACCAACACTGCTTTGCTGTCCCCGCAACGTGTACTGGAAATGAAGGGGTTACCTGAAACCAGACCATTTTTACCCAGGACAGCATCTGATACTTGGAACCCAGTGCAGATTTACCGTGTATCCCTAGATGTGTGGGACAGTTTCTTTTATTCCAGAAGCTGTCTTCCTTTCAAATGTAGTTGTCAGGGCAAAATAAAAAGTTCACTGTTATGATGGCCTATATCAGGGGTGTCAATACTCACCTCCTACCCCAGGCTGGATCCAGACCACAGGGCTCCTTGGAGGCCAGGTCCAGCCCAGGACATGGGGTGGCTCCAGTGGCAGCAGTTTTGGCCCCATGCAGGAGCCAGACCTGCTGCTGCTGCTGCCACATGCCTTGTGGCTTGGTGGCAGTACACAACCTATGTGGTGGTGACAGCTCCAGCTCCAGGTGTAGCTCCAGCTCCAGCTCAGGCCTGGGGCATGCAGCAAATGGTAGTGGCAGGGCCATTGACTGAAGAGGTAGGGCTGGTTCGATGGTGATGAGCAAAGTACCTTTCGGGTGACTAGAGCTCTATCACCCCTTGCACACCCTTGTGCTGCCCATCACCATGTCCACCAGGGCCTTAGGGTTCTGGATTACATGGCAAACCATCCCCCACAGCCATAGCCCCCAAATTCTGGTGGCCCACTGGTAGCCGAGCGGGCTGGATAGAGTATCTCTGCAGGTCAGATCTGACTGGTGAGCCACATGTTTGGCAACCCTAGTCTGTATCAATGCATTGTCCTGCATAGTGACATTTTGGCCCCATTGTGCAAGTTTAGCATGACACGATACCATTATCACTGTGTGTATAGTTGTAAGTGTCATAGAGAGGAGGGGTTTGGGCATGGAGTTCCTGAAAACAAGGGTGTCGATTGAGTCTACTGCAACCCGCGCTAATTAGCACACATCGGAGCAGAGCTCTGTCATGTGTATGGGAGCCCCAAGTGTCCAGGAAAGAGCCCCCTACTGCCAGCAATGGAGATAGTAACTAATGAAACCATCAACGTGTTTTATTTTCTTTCACCCTAGCTATACAACATGCTCGTTGACTTAGCTCTGTTGTTCTGCAGAGGAGCCGAGTCACACAGTTTGCTCTTATACAGTCCACAGTTTCCAAGGTCTCTGGGTGTACAGGCTTTCTGGACAAATGGACTTGCAGTGTCACCCAGATTATACTACTTGCAACACAAAACGATTGTTTCTGTTGCTTAAATGCTGTAACCAATACTCTGTCATTAACATTACTTAGGACCAAGCTGTATGCGCGTTGCATTAAAAAATGTTGATAGCAAAGTGCCTGACTAGTATATGGTGTGCCTTTGGTATTAGCAGCTTCTCTGTATGTTATATATTTTCCAAGTTATACTTTTTAGCATATATATAACTTCATGGTGAAATCAAAACCGTAGACTAGTAATAACAGAGCGATCTTTGGCCTGTGGCTATTGGTGCTGAATTGTTCCTGTAAATTTTGTCGTAATTCCTTCAGCACAGAGTATAGACTAGAGCATGCATAATTTAATTTATTAAAGTTAAAATATATGTTAGACCTTATGACCTCCGCAGCAGGAAACCGGTAATTTAATTTTAAATTAATTTGCTGGGAAAGCAGAAAGAACCAGTGCAAATTTGAAAATCTGAGAGTTTATACAAAAAGCAATTGACTTAATCAACCACTTTTTGTCTCCCATGTTATTTCAGTTGGTTACTTTTTAAATAAGATGGGGCTCTTTTTTCCTCTCCATACCTGCTTCTGCTGTTTCCTGCTGTGATGTGACTGTAAAATTAAAGCAAGTGGGCTCTGATTATGGGAGGGTAAGCTTGGTTAAAACACTGACTGTGAGAATCGCTCCCCTCCCCTCCAGAAAATGGCACACCACTGAAAGGAAAATACTATACATTCAGATAGTTTTTGTTAAAATTCTGGTACTCTTGTAATCTGTTTTCTCAGCATGGAAAGGCTTCTTTAAGCAATTCAGCATAAGTCTTTGAAATCAGCCTGAGCTTTATTAATATTTTAGTAGCACTGTTAGTAATGACATAAAATATGGTAATACTCTGGTAAGCTATGGAGTTTACAGGCTACATTCCCAGCTAGTCTGAATCAATAAAGCTCTCCTGATTATGCCAGTGGTTATGGGCCCAATCCTGCAAACACAACTAGGCATAACTCTCCGTACTGTGAGTAATCTGAAGGGATTCACCATTAGTCACTGTCATGCCCGCAAATTGGGACGTGAATTTAATGACAAATACTCATGCTACTCCGAGTCCTGGGCCTCGCAGCAGCCGGTGTTTGCAGAATACACTTAAGCACACGCCTAACTGAGACTCGGATTTCAGTGCAGCTCCAAATTATTCTCAGACATTTGCTGAACAGGAGTGGATTTAGCCTGGTGTTTCATGAATTGAGGGCCATGTATAAAGGAGGGGATGGGAGAGCCAGCAGCAGTGGGAGACAGAGCGAGGTGTCTCCATCTTCTGTTTCTCAGGGGGAAGGGGGCTCCATATTCAGTGCATTTCCCTCCTCTTGAATTTATATCTTTTCTTCTTTTTTGTCTGGTTTCTTTCCTGCCCTGCAGTACAGACCTGTTACTTAACATAGCACCTCCAGCGCTGAGGCTGAGGCTGAGGCTGAGGCTGAGGCTGAGGCTGAGGCTGAGGCTGGCTGTGTGACTGCAGAGTACATCTCTTGATTATATGGCTAAACTCGGAGCACCAGCCTGTGATATTTGGGGTCACTGGAGAAAACGACTTTCTCAGATTCAGAGACTGAAAATGGAAGAAATGGCAGGGTGATTCCTTCCCCTAGCAACAATTCCTGAACAAAAAGCTGCTCTTTTTTCCCCCTCTCTTTTACAGCCAGGCAATCTGACATATCCAAGTTGCTAAACCTCAAAAGTTGCAGCATAAGCCTATGTAATCTTGTTGCTTACCATTTTGCCTTAAGATGCCATCCCTTGACAAGTATAGTTCAGGGTATTTTCTGTGCTAGCTGGGGAGTTCTGCTTAACAAATAAGCATGCTACCAAAGAAAAAGAAAATAAACCCATCTAGGATTATCTCCGGCAGGAAAAACAGCTGCAACCGAGGGGGCAGTGCTGCAAAAGCCCAGGAGACCAGAGTCAGACCTCTGAGATTTGTGAAGAGTTAAGTGAGTTGCAGATGGATAAACAGGTGAAAGCTGAACCATCATCACCAGTAGGGAAAACAGAGGTAACAGAAACAACCTTCCTACTTGATACTGCATGCGACCAATAGACCAAAATCAGTAGTGCATGCATGGAAATTAAGGGGGCTTTCATGGTCTGAACAAAAAACCCACAAAACCTCTCCAATGGTAAGAAAAAAACAATCGGAAGTAGCTTCTGTAGACCGGTGGGAGGAGAATAGATTCTTGTATTATTACAAAAATGGAATACTCAGAAAATGCATAAAAATGGAAATATTTTAAATGGGTTTCCAAGAACGTGCAACTTTCAAAGAAACTGTAATTAGACTCTGATTCTCCTCTGACAGTGGCACCTTCTTGCTCTGCAGACCTTTCTCTTGGGTACATTTTGGTTCATGTCTACTAACTTTACCAGATTGCCATTAGGATTTTATTCCTGTTAGCACTGCCAAGCCAAGACAGAGAGCAGAATTTAAGTAAATAACACAGCTAGTTCCCTAGCTTTACTCCTTCCCACCTCTGCTATAAAACACAGACAGAGCCCAAACCCATCAGAAAGCACATGGAAGAGTCTTGGTGGTATTGTGGGAAGCAGGGATTATTCACTCCTGTTTTTTAGTCTCATTGATTAATACGTGTAACTCTGTCACCGTACATGAGCCCTAAGAACATTTATAACAGGAATATTTCAACTGTTTAGTGGAAATGATTCTTGCCTTTTTGTGTGAACCCTCTTCTCCAGAAGTAAAGGGACTTGAATCGAAAAAGGAGACTCAGAAGCACTTGAGATCCCAGCCTCAAAAAATATCAGATCATAAGCTAGTAGGGATACAGCTGACTGAAGATGTAAGTCCATGAGGAATTTTTGGGGTCTGAGTAGTCAGGCTTTCTACATACCACCTTGTCCTGGGAATACCCTAATTTCAGGCTAGTCTCTAATTACTTTTGTCTCCTAGTTTTAACATCTCTACGAGAGAAACGAACCATCCGCCCCTAGAGCAGGAAATTAGAAAAATGACATCCTTTGTTAGGTTTGGAATGAAATTCCAGGATCCTGCCAGAACATGCTAGCTGTGATCTGGTCGGTGACAATAATCCCCGTTTCCTCCCTCACCTTTACATGAGCCCTGGAATACTAATGTCATCTTCATAAAGTAAAACCCAATTGTTTCTATTTGTGGCTGCATAAAAGAGGCAGAGGATGCATGGCAGTAATCCATGGAGCACTTGAAATCAGACAGGAGGTCACACGAGGTTATGAACTCCAGCATTAAAGAGTACAGCCCAAACAATGCTATTTTTGAAGGCCAGGCTCTGTGTGGACAGCAAAGAGACCTAGCATTTCACGAGTAATCTCTGAGAGATCTCGTGGGGCAAGCAAGGACAAGGTGATCTATTTGACAAACATCCCAAGAACTTGTAAAGCCATGTAAAGTAAGCCATTTTTGGGAAGCCACTTAACAGAGTTGTTAGGCCCACGGGAGAGGATTTTGAGTGATTTACTCAATAACAGGAAGTCTTAAGAAGGAGAGAATGTGTTGGGAATAAAGCAATGTTGATGGCAGTATGAAATAAATTATGTGATTAAAAATGTATCTCATATTAACTGTTAGAGGGATTTGAACAATAGTATCATCAAGATGAGAGAGGAAAAGATCTGTAGGGTGATCTAGCTTATCCCCCTGATAAAACAGTTCCCTATTGAATGTTTCCTATGGCTTTGTCCCATGTAGATTTAAATGACTCAAGCACCTAAGATTTCACCATTTCCCAAAGAAAAATAGCCCATAGCTTGTGTATCTCACAGTCAAGAATGTTTTCCTGGGGACCAGCCTAAATCATTTCTGAGCATCATATCACCACTCCATTTTCCAATCATGTCATTCCTCTTCTTTCCTTAATTCAAATTTAGTATAATGTTGTCACCTTTTCTTCCTTCTGTAGTCTACTCTTTAATAACTATCTGTATTAATTACCTCACTTCATCATTGGTTTCTTGTAAACCGATCCTTCTGTTTCCCTATGCACTTTTGTTGCTTTTCCCTCAACTCCTTTTTTTTGTTTGTCCCTTTTTTGGTGTTGAGATGCCCAGAGCTAAACACAGGCACTATATTCCAGCTGTCCCAGAACTGTAGAGACTGGGAACATGACCTCCCTTGTCAAGGCATGACGCTTCTGCATTTGCAGTCCAAAACCATGTCTGTGTTCTGCAGTGCATATGAGAATGCCATGTTTAATTCACGTGTTGCTCAGTTGTTTCTTGGAGGTACAGCATTACAGCCGTCTCCCTTCCATTGAATATCTGTACTCCAGAGAACTTTCCCCTGGATGCAGTAGTTTGTAGTTTTCCACAAAAAAAAGTCTCATTTTCCTATGTTCTAGCCATGTTTATTCCCTCTCTTCCTCTCTCCTTACTAGGGCTGACCACTTCTGCCACTGTAGTAGTATCTTCCAATTTTATTCTTATGTTGTTCGGTCCTATTTTTACATCATTGATGCAGATAAGCTGGTCTTAGCACTTTTACTAGACACATCCTCTTTCCTAGATGCCATCTATCATTACATCAGCTAAATGGACAGTTGAATCCAAGTTATTTTGAGTTCATTTTAAGAGTAGATTTTTGGGTGGTAACGAATGAGATGCTTTATTGAGGTTCAGGTATGATATCTGCTACTTCCTGCCATTCACTGATTTTGTAAAATAAGGCCTTGGATTTTCAAAGGGACTCGGACACTGAGAAACCTTCAACTAACAGTGAGAGTTGGGTATCTAACTCCTTTAGGCTCCTTTGAAAATACCAGCTTAATAATATAAATGACAAGTTTAGGCCCCAACTCTCACTAAGTCAGATCCCAAGTACGGGGTGGAGGATGTAATGTAGAGCCACCTAACCCAGAAGCATGTTATAACTTTTCCTATCCACCACTAAATTATGTCACTGGTGAGTGGTCCCTCAGGAACCTCATACACATAGAAAACCTGGCATCGCAGAGCTCTGCTCTGCCGAGTCCCCCTTCCTTTCCTTCCCAGTCCATGTTCCCGACGCATCCCATTCTGCCCTTCATAGCAGGGATTTTCAAGTGGGTTGAAGCAAATTCTCCACTGATCATCTTGGATCATCTCAAGGTCACTTTGCACTACTGTGGCATATAATGGCATTAAGCAGACTAGAAAGTCCATCTCTCAGTTGTTATAAATGAATCGACGTTTCATAGCTCCATTATCCTCTAGTCTGGGGGGGGGGCATGCCTTCAAATGTTCAATTTCATGATTTTAATAAAGATTTATAGAAGATAGATTTAATGAATGGCAATTGCCAATATCACCTCCCTTTCCTTCCCTTAACGTTCAGTGCTACATTTGCTTTCCCCTGCCCAGTTGTCCATGAATATTCAGTAATGATGGTCTATGGGACATTAAGTTTGTTTGACGAATCTCTTTGTGCCTTTGACTGTGTACTGTCTGGCTTTGCTGAATTGTGTGTGCTCACATTTGCTCAGGTTGCCTTTACCTGAACTTTCTCAATAGCTATTTTTCCCAGATCTTCACAAGGAGATTTTTACTTGTCCCAGCTGTTATTTTTCTTGTTGAATAAAAGGAGGTTCTTAAAAGGAGTTCATTATCTCAGTCATTTAAAACATCACTAATTACATCTCCCTTATCAAATGTTACGTTGTCTCTTTCTGTTAATGCATCTGTGAAAGCCCTTCTTCTTCCTTTAAACCCCCATGGGGAATATTAACTTTACTCTCTGTTGCCTGGTTCTGTTCCCTATGAGCCTTCCCCACTGCTCCTCTCTATTCTCCCCCTTTTTCCATTCCCAGTATAGATCCTCAGACGTATGTCCACTGCCTTGTCAAGCCAAAAGAAGCACTTGTCAAAAGATTTGTTGTCTCTTGGGCCTTCGCTATTCCCCAGCTGCCTTTCACACTAGTAGATTGTAATACTTTTCCTGAATTTCCTTCCTTCATACAGTATGTTCCTTTAATTTCTTAATTCTTTTGAGTGTACGTTCCTGAAGTCCAGCACAGTTATGCTGCCAAATTCTGTCGCTTTCCTGGTACCAAGTTGAGACTGGTCTCCTCACAATCTTGTTCCCTTTCTCTTCATTGCTAAGAAATATACCCAAAATGACTTCTTTCTCAGAGGAATCTCTACTTTATATATTATGAAGTGGTCATCTTCTGTGGGTACCTTTGGACTATTTTAATGAACTTGATTTGGATATGTGTATAACCTATCAGGCAAATGAGCAAATAAAGTACCTGGTGAAGAGTTATCCTATGGTTTTGACTACACTAAAAGTTGATCCAACATTTTTTTTCAATTCTTGATCTTACCAAGTCTTGCTTGTATGCAGAACGCAGGCCATTCTTATTATATTTTCATTCTAAGAAGTGATTTTTATAAGCTTTTCCCAAGCAAGTTTCTTTCTGCTTAGACACTATTTTGCAATGATGTTTTTTCACTTTTTAATTGTTTTTAACCTCCTCTTAGCTAATTCTGAGCCCAATCCAAGATGGTGACCTGCAGGATGCTGCACTTAATTGCAGAGAATTAAGTTTCATCCCCATTTGTAAGCATTGTCAGAGCGGTCCATCTAGCCCAGTTTAGTGTAGCTCCGCATCAAGTTGAACTCAGCTGTAAATTTTGCATGCACTATCTACATGAGAAAGCAAAGAGCCAACCTCCGAGTTAGTTATGCCTTTTAAAGTTATTATTTACCTTCATCGCCCTCTTTAAATATAAATACTTTGCGCTTACCAGCCTGCCTTTCACCTATAGGCTAATCTTGTTATACACATATGGCGCATTTACACGTCACCCTATGTCACTGTAGCAATGCTGTGATGGGGGGGTCCCCCAGGCACCCAAAGAGATTGATGCCCCTTCCCATGCCCCTCCTCCCCCATTTAGGGCAGTCTGCCCTGCCCTCACCTGCCACACCTTTGACATAAATGAATATATAAATGCAGGAGGCTGCCCCATTTGTGGCTCCAGTGTACTGGGCCAGTCACACATCTCTGAACCATCACTACACCGTGTCCCATCCCTCACAGATGGCATCCAAATCCACTGCTCCCCTGCCCCTTCCTGGGGCACTCTCAGCCTTTGGCCCACACAGGCCTTAGTCCCCACTTGGTGAGCCTTGACCCCTTTGGCCCCTCACTGGACCACACACACTCACTCTGACCCCTCACTGGGTCTATCATTCACTCCAACCCCTCACTGGGCCGCAATTTACTCTTTGTTGGCCCCAGGTCCCTCCCAGCAGAACTTAGCCCTTCTGTGGGCCTTACACCTCTCAGGCCTCAAGTCCCTCCCAGTGGACCTTGGCCCCAAGTCTTTCCCCTCTATGGGATGACCCACAAGGCAGTGGGGGTTAAGGCTTTCCAGTGCCCCATCCTTGCCTTTCACTGGGAAGGCACAGGTGTGGCATTTCCTAGGGGCTGCCCCACCACAGGTGGTTTCACCACACCAACCAACCCCAACAGGGTGCAGTTTCGGGTGTTACCCAGGACCACTAGGAACCTCTTCCAACCCCATAGTTCCTACCCTAGCCTCCAAGTGTTCCAGGAGCTGCAGTCCTTAGGCCAGGAGTTGTTACTTCTTCAGCTCCTCATATGTAATTGCTGGCCCTGCTCCCAGGGTCTGGGCTTATACTCTGGCTGCACAGCCCCCCTCCAATCAGGCAGCCCATTGCGCTGAGGTGATTACCTAATTGGTTCTGAATCCACCTGCTGACTGCTCCACAGCCTGCCTGCTCTCCTTAAAGTAGCAGACACTATCAGTGCACTGCCACAGACATGCTACGTTGACGTACAACATGCTATGGTGATATAGCGATCATCGTAGTGCTGTGCTCCCCCCTTTTTAGCATGCCACTACAGCAAAGTAGTGGCTAAAACTAACTGTGCACCACATACACAGCGCAGCATGGGCAGTTACTATTACTCAAAGGAAATACTAAAGCACAGTGCAGTAAGAATGTTGCCATAGGGTGACCCATAGATAAGTAGTATTAACTTTGTGTTATAGATAGAGATAATAGTATTAGAAAATAAGGTAGTAAAGGGGTCAGTGGTTATTTAGAGATCCCAGAATGAGTTAGTGAAAGAATAATTTGCATCTCCTGATTCCTGGTTAAAACTGCTTCACATTATGGCAGAGCCCTATAGGCTTCCAGATACAGTTAAGGTTCCTATTGTGTGAGGTACTCTTCCACCACATAGGAGGCAGGGCAAGGTGGCACCTTAGAAGCTAACAAGTCTCTACCCTGTCTTCTCCCTGACTTCAGATTAATTGCCTCTGTAGTCTCTGCTCTTACAGATTGGGCTATAGGACTGCTAGATACTTTGGTTCACTATAAAGGCTAACTGGTTCTGAGAGGTAAGAGTTTCCATAGACACCAGCCCACTTTGTCAGATGCTAGGATAACAGTGTGTTGGCTATGAAAGCTTATGCTTGATCTCCAAAGTGCCACCATGCTCTACCTTCTGCTTGGGTCAGTAGCTAAACCAAAAAAATGGCAACCCTGCCTCCAAACTTACTTTGGATTGCCACAAGATGGTAATTCCAGTTTTTCTCTAAAAAAAAAAAATCTGACATGAAATTTTCAGTTCATACTTAGGTGGGAAGTTTTACTTTAAAAAAAAAACAAAAAAACTTTAAACTTTTGTAAATAAAACTGCCCAACTTTAATAAATTTAGCAACAGTTCACCTTCCCCACCCCCAAAAACACAGTTGGAACATTTCATTCTTAAGATGTCAAAATATAATTCTTCAACTTTTTCAAAACTTTTTTCTCATTTTGGTTGAATGTTTTTGCCACATTCATCCTGAATTTGCAAGCAGTTTTGATAGACCCCAAAATACAATTTTTGCAAATGTATGTTCATCCAGAAACTTTGCGCTACCTTAGCTAAGAGCTTCCCATCTAAGCAAACAAGAAAGGCAAAACTTCATGAAAATGGAAGCGTCCCCCATTTTACTGTGGAGGATGTGGTGGGCAGTGAGAGAGTGTGGAACGTCTCAGGCTCAGAAACTAAACTATACTTTTCTGACTCCCAGACAGTTACTTTTCCAGTTGGATCACAATGCTTTCTAATGGGTTCCTACACTGTCCCAGTACACCAGGCAAAGGGAAAGGAAATAAGCCACGATTAAAATCTTTCAGGGCTCAGCCACCCTAGGTCTTCAGTCATGATAACATCACAAAAGAGAACTTTTTTTTGAATGACATGGAGCGAGGTTGGGTAAAACCCACAGACAGAAAGGATAAAATTGTCATTGTGGGGATGGCCAATGCATGAAGTGTTTGGCATTTTTTTTCCTCTTTCATTATGATTCTTTGCTGATGTGTTCTTTAGTCACATTTAAAGCAAACACATGTCCTTAAGGGAAAATTGATCCATTTGTTTTCCTCACCTTTGCTCCTGTTGCTGGCAAGCTTGATCAAATCAGTCTCTCTGAAGGCAGCACGGTGGATTTGACAAATCCTGCAGAACTGCTGGAACAGATCCCAGAGTTTGCCGAAGAGCTAATGGAACCTGAGGACTGTTTTCCAGAAGGTAAGGGCCTGTTACAGTTTCACTGTGTTTGCAAAGCGAGAAGGCTCCTGTTCTATCAAACATGTCTCCACATTAACACCAAGGCACTCCAGTGACTTGCATTAATATTTCAGCGACTCTTCTACTCTGTTCAGCACTGATGAGGCCTCACCTGGAATAGTGGGTGCCTATACACGTGCAGCGAGGCTGCTCCAATGCACTGTAATTACAGCGCATCAGAGCAGACTCAATTAATCAAGTCTGCTGAAGCGTGGTAATCACTGTGCTCCAGCAGACTCCAGCGTCATGTGTATCAGTGTCCCCGCTCTGAAAAATGGTGGCAGGGGTGCTTTAACTAAAGCTCATTCAACGAGCTTTAGATAAAGTGCTCCTGTCACCATTTTTCATCACGGGGACGCTGATACGTGTGTGCTCTGGGTGCTTTAATTACAGCCCCCACTGCTACTCCTGGAGCATGTGTATAAATGCCCAGTGTATCCAGTTTTGGGCCCTATACTTGAAGATGGACTTGGAAGGTTTAGAAAGAGACCAGGGCAGAGCAACAAAAATGAGCAGGGGGCTGGGAGACAAGATTTAGGAAGAAAGGCTGAAAGAACTAGGGTTATTTAGCTTGGAGAACAAAAGACTGGGTAGTTGTGGGGTGAGGGGGAATTTGATAACAGCTTTCAGATCCCTGAAGTGTGATTATAGAGAGGATGGATAGGACTAGAAGCAACAGCCTCACACTGCAGCAGGAGAAATTTAGGTTGGAGATTAGGAGGAACTTTCTGACTGTGGGTAGTAAAACATTCGAGCAGGCTACCCAGAGAAGCTGTAACATCTCCATCCTTGGCAACTTTCAAAAGTAGTTTAGACAGACACTTGGCTGGTATGGTTTAATCAGGTGTGATCCCACCTTAGACTCATACAACACTAGGGTTGGAAGGGACCTCAGGAGGTTATCCACTCCAACTCCTTGAGGGGGCTGGACTAGATAACCTTGTGAGGTCCCTTTCCTATAATCCTCTCATCTTACATATACGGTAACACTCCAAACACCTGCAAACAGGCATCAGTTACTTGTTACCGTTAGTCTGTGAGTTTCTGCACTCTGGCCACACCTACATGAGATGCTGACCGTGCAGTTGTTACTGTGCAGTCATTGAGTACTTGCATACACAAGTACTCAATGACTGCACAGTAACTGGAGTTGCAGCACAGTAACGTTGCCGAACGGCTTTTAAGTGATGCTGACTGTGCAATAGCATGTTACTATTGTGCAGTAGCATTGCGTCATGCTTCATGCCATGCGACACTACTGTGCAGTAGTAATGAGCTACTGGATAGTCAGCGTCTCGTCTAATCGCAGCCTCTAATAAGTCTGAAAGCACACTTTAAATTACTGCACAGCTTTTTATTTGCAGGCCTTTTGCATTGCATTTTGTGCCATGAGATTTAAGTTTTATAATTCACTGTGGATCTGGCTAATGAAGCTTTGTCTCTTCAAATGTTGGATATACTCAAAACTGTTACAGAACAAATCTGAGTTGAAGGTGTTAGTGGAACGGATGGCGGTGGAAACTGGTTGAGAATCCCAGGACATCTAGGAATTAGCTATATTTCTTTTCCTTGAAACATTATGCTGTTGTTTCAGAGAAACAAAAAGGTATTTGCAAAGACATGAAAGTGAATACAATTACTTACTTTGTTCTGGCCAAGCGTAATATAAATAGAGCCTTTAAGATACCGGTAATTATGTCAGAGAACACCATTCTGCTTTTACTTAACCAGCTTTAGTACACCAACATTTTACCAATTTTAATACGAGCCTTCACCAAAATGCAGGAGTAAAGCACAACAGTATCAAAAGCCCTATTGTTTAAATCCAAAAGAGACGTGTCTCCAAGGCTGTTTCTTCTCCAACAAAGTTTGATCCCCATTGAATTTTTCAATCAAATTCTTCACTTCTTTTATTGCTTGGGACAAAAGAAGAGTTAGCTGGATTTTAGTTAAACAATGATTATATATACCACCCAAAATTCAAGGATAATTATGCAGTAGAACCTCAATTATCCAAGCTTCAACACTTTTTATTAATTGTCACTGTTGGTGTTCTTTAATGTTCTCTTTTAAGCTTCATCTACTCCAGTGTTGTATGTTTACTCTTAAATTTTGATATAGTAACTTGTAACTGGTTCACCTATTGAAACAAATTCAGTTCTCTGCATAGCTTTTAAGCAGGTGCTTTACAAAGGGGATTGGATAATGGAGGATATACTATACAGAAATTGAGCTGCTTGAGGGAGATCAGACAGGGATGGCTGATTTCCAGGGTATATGGCTACCTCAAAAAACACCAAAAATGATAAGTATATCTGACTGGGCTTGTCAGTTGGGCTGAGGAGCAATAGCTAAAGATGTATGCAGGTGATTAAAAGCATGGTGAGCACTGTAACCACTCCAGTCTACATAGTACTAATAAGAGAGTAGACTTGTTGATTCCTTTTTCTCCCAATATACAACCTACCATGGGCAGTGAGCAGTGATCTCTATTTCTGACTGCAAAATGTGAAACTAGAATAGAATCACACTCAGAAAACTCCAGGTTAAAAGCACGTTATTAACATTGCTGAGTCAAAAGTTAGTGAACACCAGAATTAAGATGCCCGTAAACGTAATTGGCACCCCCAGGCACATGAATTACGATTACAGTCTTTCGTTACATGATCACATACTATTTTTCACAGCGCCTCTATCTCACTCAGTGACTCAGTACTTATCTAGGGTTGCACATTCCTTTCTCCCCCTGCCTGTCCCTTGCTTTATTCACCACATACCTTTCAACTTATGCAACAAATGAAGCAGAGGTCCTGCAACCAACAGCCTCATTTATTACACAACCCCACTTCTTCTCCAGAACCAAGTCCTTCAGTCTGACTGACCAGCTCTTCTAAACCAATCTGGATTCCCTAATATTCTGTCATCTGGAGCTAAAGTGACCTCAGCGTGGGTCACCAGATCTCCGCTGCCTGACAGAGTAACCTGTAGTGGCTGTTATCCCTCTATGTGAGCCTGATGTAAGAGAGGCACTTGGCCAGTTTTGATACCCATTCCCAGGTGTCTGCGGAGGAAAGTAGAGACTCTTTTCCAGGTTTGGGAGTGGACTCTGGTTAAGGACATTTCTAACTCCACCCCAGGTCTTCCTTCTTCCATTCCTCTCCTCTCCATCCCCTGCAGTTCTCCATCACTCTGTATTCAAGTCAGGTGAACTGTTTCTTCTCTGAGGTGCAAACAGGTAAGAAGTTAAGAGCACAGAAGAGACATTATCTGCCTGCTCTTGGTTCCTGAGCCTAGCCCCACAACAGGTAGGCCAAGATTTTTCAGCAGCATATAAGTTAACTAACTCTGGATAAAAGTTCGCGGATATGGCAAAATGCACATCTCTGACACCAGAATTTTTTGAGTCACTTCTCTATGGCTTGGAGTCAAAGGAGATTTTTTGTGCAATGGCTATGAGAAGTTTGCTTCTGCAGGTGAAAACAATATATTTTCCCTATATTCTCCATCGGAGAAACAGCTTTTTACAGGACCTCTGTCTCATGACTAAGTACTTAGCTGGCATTTCACATTCCATTTTCCTCCTGCCAGACACAAGTTTTTCTTGAAAATTTCCAAAATAATTCACCCTGGAAAGGAAACTCCGCATGGAAAAGTTCAGCACAGCTGACTAAAGTTTGGCAAAGAAATAAGCCACTGAAAGCAGAGTCTTTTAATGGAAAGTGTTGGGCAGTCTTAAAGATAGGTGCTATTTCCTATCTACCTACAATGAAGGTATTTAGTGATAGCTGATACATTAGGAAGAGTGAGTGAATCTCCTGTGCATGTGCAAAATGATGGGAAAGGAGAGAAGGAGTTAAACTCCTACCTTTCTGGCTTGCCAGCTGTCTGTATTCAAACTATGACATTTCTAAACATGTTCAGACATAGATTATGTCTTGGGCAAATGCATTCCTGATTGGTTTTGCTTCTTCAAATAACCTATCCAATGGAGATTTTTTTTTAAATCCCCAACATAGTGTTTTGCTATTAGTTCACTGAGGTCACAGTTTTTCTAGGAGTTTGGGTGGCTTTAAAGTGGCCTTTTAGCAGTGAGTGGTTTTATTTCATAGTAACTGTTAATTGGCTAACACCTCAAAATAGCTAAAAATGGTTGATCGGGAATTTTCCAACAAACATGAAATCTAGGGAAGAATTACAGCTCCAGCAGCAAGGAGATACAGCTTGGGAAAATCTGGATGGGTCTAGAGAGTTAATGCAAAAGTGAAGCCAGTTAGTGCAAAAGCAGCATCCAGTCAATGCTGGCTATTTTTGGTATTTTTTTCCTCCAGGTACCTTGCAGCATTGTAGCATTGTTACCTCCAGTAGAATGTGTTGTTACCACACCGCTGGCTGAATTACTGTCACCACATGCACTGTCTTCTATGTCTCAGAAAAGATCATTTGGGCTAGGGACAGAAGTTACACATAAACCAGTAAAGTGGTCAGAAACCAGTTCAAAACACAACAGGAGTTCAGTGTACATAAACCTGTCAGACCAACCTGGTGGCCTTTTACGATCAGATCACCAGATCATTAGATGCAGGGGTAGCAGTGGACATAGTTTTCCTGGACTTCCAGAAGGCTTTTGACACCGTCTCTCACCCCGTTCTCATTAAGAAACTGGGGGGCTGTGGCGTAGACACGCACACAGTCAAATGGGTCGCCAGCTGGCTGGAGGGCCGCACCCAGAGGGTGGTAGTGGATGGGTCCTTCTCAACCTGGAAGGATGTGGGGTTCTGCAGGGCTCGGTCCTCGGGCCCGCACTGTTCAACATCTTCATCAGTGATTTGGACGAGGGGGTAAAAAGCACACTGTTCAGATTTGCTGATGACACTAAGATGTGGGGGGATGTGGGCACACTAGAAGGAAGCAACAGGCTACAATCAGACCTAGACA